CACCTCACAAAGAAAATCACGGTAAAGTTTACAGTAACACAATGAGACATGGAGAGACGCAAGTTACACATAAGGATTCTAGATAGAATACCATGTACAGCAATAAGACGGAGAACGGGTGTGAATGATTTCATGTCAGAAGTGGCAAAAATAAAGTGGGGATGGGCAGGTCATGTTATCAGAACCACAGATAACAGATGGACAAGAAAAATAACAGAATGGATACCCAGAGAAAGTAAAAGAAAAAGAGGAAGACAGAAACAGAGGTGGAGAAATGACTTGACAAAATACAGGAAATATTGGTTTAAAGAAACATCAGACAGAAAGAGGTGGAAGAGTTATAGGAGGGGTATGTTCAACAATAGACTGAGGAACCCTGAAGTAATATCCAGGACAACTACAGGCATAGCCGCATAACCATTGCTTACTAAGCTTTAACTACCGGTATTATACTATACCGATGATCAACAAATCACAACTTTCTTGTTTGCCTTTAGCACAATTCTCTTCACTTTTTAATATCATTAGTAATATTGTCTATTATCATTATCACCATCGTCATCACCCTCATTATAATCGTCACACATCATATATTATTATTACTTAGTAGTATTAGAATTATTAAACAAAGCTTTATAAACGCTTGCAAAAGGATTAACCAAACTGAACCATACATTTTTAAATTTCTGTGTCTTAAAGACCTGTTCTGGGATTAATGGATTTAAGATTGTTTTAAATTACTTATGCCTTTGTATTATAATTATAGTAGGCCTATTAGGTTTATATGAACTAACGTGTGCTGATGCATATTTACATATTTTAGAAGTATTTATTTTGAGTGAACCGAGGAAAGCATTTGTATTGGCTCAAGAACAAGCTTTAGAATTTTAACACTATGTACAAAAGGGGGAGCTGCTGCTGGATACGTCCAGGGGCATAATACCATTACTCTACTATTCATTTTCACAATCTGAAGTCGTTTAATCAGTAGGCCTAAGGTCTGAATCATTATTTCCTGGAATAGATTGAGTCGAGAACATTCTTTGAAGCAGGCATAAAAATTGTATGTATATAGGCATATGCGTAAAATACTAGCTTAATGGAACCCCATGGATTTGAAAGCAAGATATCAAATAACACAACCACTTAGTTACGATATTACAGACATTACGCATGGTTTTAGCATGCCTAATTGGATGAATACATGCCTTAAACTTACCCATGTCTGCGTTTAGACTCCTGATCCAATTTCTTTAACCTATCGAGTTTCGCGAAGGGACGAAATGACAAACTTCCTTCTTCGGCCAAAAATACCTTTAAAAAATGTTTGTACATAAATAAGTTAGACAATCTTCTTGTTTCCCTCCTTCAATCTCAAATCTTTTAAATCGCTTATCAACAAGCTTCCTCTCTAACATCTGCTGATAATTGCCTGCTAGGTTTCCCTTTGCCTTAATTCCTCCAGTAATAGATACAAAGCCGGGGCCCTGGTGAAAAATCCCCTCCCTCTTCATTTTCCAAATTGCATGCAGAGGCCTATATAACTTGCGGTAAAGAAAAATTAAATCATTATTTCAAGTTCACATACGTCTTTAAATATGTTCGATCTTTTTCCCCACATCATTTATCAGTAGGGGCTTAATAATAATAATAATAATAATAATAATAATAATAATTATTATTATTATTATTATTATTATTATTATTATTATTATTATTATTATTATTATTATTATTATATAACCGAGACTATGTGTGAAAAGGCATATACAAAAACCAGTATTGACAGTCTGTGCATGAGAGTGGGGTGTGGCTAGAAAGCCAAGACAGAGGCATTGTTTCTATAGCGTTTAGTGAAGGAAAGCCGAATACAATGGCATGGTTCCAGTGTAGTGGGAGAAATGTGCTGCTTTGGTTTAGCAGACTGCACAGACTGTGTGAGTACTTGCTTTTGTATTTAGCCTTTTTACACATAGTCTCAGTTAAATTGTTTAGTTTTCCACCAATCAGCAGCAAGTCTTACTATCCAAACATATAAGTATTTCCCTGTTTGGATTCTCTGCAGATATTAATAATAATGTTTAAAGGTTTGTATGGCAAAGTAATAATATATTTAATGCTTGCGGTACACAACGTAGATAGTTGCTTCAATCGTCTTCAGGAGCATAATATATGCCTATATATATATATACTGTCTCTTATATAGACATATATATATATATATAAATGAGAATATATATATAATCCTATATAGAAACATGTATGTATGTATATATTCAGTAGCTACAATATCTTCTAAATAATACTTTGCCGTACACGTAATACAATTATATCACAGCTACATTTATTGTTGTTACCATATAGCTGATTAATCAAATCGATTTTCATTGGAGCATATTCACGTGATGTTGACTTTTCCTTTGTTATTGTCTGCTACCTCATTTCATTAAAAGGCAAAGTGGATGCATTAATTTCGCTGAAGCCTTTCAAATTGATATCTGCTCAAACATAAAGCAAAATACGAATGGATTTTGAACAACTCGAGTCATTTGAAATAATTAGAATGAACACAAAATAATGACAATAATATATATACTGTCTCTTATACACATCTAGATGTGTATAAGAGACAGGAAGACTACTTTCTCCAATACAGGATTTAGAACGTAAATGTTTATTGTGAAACTTTTTTTTTTTATTAAAAAGCAATGCTTAACATTTTAATGCTACTATGTAATGTTATCTCTAAAAATATAACTGGGATAAAATTAGCAATACCCACTAGGTAACTGTACAAAACACAGACCTTGCACATTATGAGATCGCTAAATACCAATATTAAAATATGGAGGTA